ATTGTGGCTGCCAAAACATCAAAAGGATGCAAAAAATCATACCACGAAGCCAAGATATGAGCTTTTTCAGGGGAAGGGATTTCTAGAGTGGAAGAGCTTTTTATCAGGCGTGAATTTTGAATGTCTAGCGTCGCTATAGCCAAAAAATACGGGTGTATGTCGTTTGGCGCGATTTTTTTGTCGTCTACGCGTCAGGACATGTCAGGCAAACCGACTTCCAGGTGAAACAACTCGCCATAACTTCCAAACTAGTGTATATCCCTAAGTGATCATTAGAAGAAAAATTATTGTTAGAATAGTGAGCACTATAACTAAAAGTGACGGCTTTTGATTGAGTGATGGCTACAAATTACGAAAACTTTATCGTTCAGTATCTTTATCGTTCAACTTGTTCTTTTCCGACAAATCGTCCGGTAGGCATGTATCCGTCAGAACACGTAACTGGCAATGAAATCGCGCCAAACGACCGCCTCCCGTTGACAGGTGGTCTCTACAAACGTTGACGGGTACCACTTCATGGCTCCACAAGATTTACCAGGTCTCCACTTGATGGCTCGACACTTCGATGGGAAGCAGTAAAAGAGCAAAATCCCCGCTTACCACGTCGCCGAATTGGGCCATTATCTCAACGCACGTATTGAGTGAAACCTTGAAAACAACATTCGACTTACTCAAGAAACTTCTCTTCTGCTTGGTCAATATCTAGCGTTTTGTGAGTGATCGCCGGCAAAAACTTGTGCCAGTCATCCACCTGAAAATGACGGATCACAGCTCATCACACAACAGAATTATGTTGAAGCCTTTCAAATTAACGAATTTGATCTTAGAAACCGAAACGTTGTCACCAATTCACCTTATACGCCAAGAACTCTTCTCCAGATTTCAAGAAGACCCAGTAGTCTGCGTGTTCGCCAGCGCCGCCTTCTCGTATACTTTTCATTTTGCGAGTACGGCCATCTGTGAAAAGCAAAGAAAGTAATTAAAATCAAAAATCCTTGAGAATCCAAAATCGAAGGGACGCAGGCAGGGAGAATAACATTGTGGACAGACTCAGTACCTGATTCGACAAAAGACAGATGCCATGGTTGATTATCAAGCTTGTACGATCTTGCCTGTCGTCCATACTTCTTCCGGCGAGCTTCCTCTCTTGCGGCTTTACCATATTCAGAGCCTTCTCCGTACTCCTGAACGGAAAGTAATGAGTTAGTTCGGACTTGCTGTGAGAATAAACATAGATCAGAGATGTTTGGAAGGAGAGTAAAGTGAACACACGAACATCAACTATGCAAAGGCGCAACAGAAAACTACAAACAACGAAGTTACGAGAGTTTTAAGGAATTCAATGCGGAAACTGGAGCACAGAACTCACCTGCACAGTCTGTGTACTAAGCGTAACATTTTTATTGTCTTCCCTCTCCATATGCACCATACTGTCAATGGTCCATTTAGATGTATCAACTCTGTCCATGCCATTGAATTTCAGTACAGAGTATCGCTTGTTCTCATTTCTCCTATAATTTAGAATTTTCTTTTGAAGTAACTACCATAATCTATCAAGAAGTCAGCTTTCAGTATGATGCTGTGATCACTTTCGGCCACGTTTACTGAGATACTGAGATCCCTGCACATAACTCGTCTCGTCTCAAGGATTCTTTCTAGAAAAGATCCCATTTGAGATATCAACTACCACAAGTTCGGTATTATCGACAGAAGTACGCGAATGTGACGACCTACACCTGTCTGACCCCTTCACTACAGGAGTCAAACTTTACTATCCACCTACATATTAACCTCAGAAACTCGTCACTCTAGAGCTCGCTCCCCATGTAACATACCACAGCTGTGCTGAGCCTTCATACTATCCACCGGTTGTACGATGTGAAGGATAATTGAATTCAGTCGACACGATAATTTCATGTACACTTTTAGAGCAAAGGTGAGCAGCAATGAAAAGATAGTGAAAAACGGGGCGAAATGGTGGGGAAACCACGAAATGGGGGCTTTATTTCTTCGCTGCACTGCGGCAGTGGACGAGCGAACGGCTGGGCGGGCGCTGCTTTGGACGAGTCTACCGATTGAAAAGTTTACTGCTGGCAATAAGTCAGCAGTAAACATTATGTTCTACGTCGCTCTACTTTACAGTATACATTACACGTAGGCACGGACGGTTCATCCACGTAATCGGGCGCTATGAGGGTACCCGTACCCCCCCCCTTGGAAAAGGCGCTACGCAGCGCCTGTTCAGGGTCACGGAATTCTGCCATGCCAGTCATATTAGTCCTACTCGTATTTAGGGATTTATCGTTCCAACTGCCTTCAAGGATAGTCTCTAGTCTTCGCCGTTAATCAATCCCTTAGAAACGGCACTACTCCACCTCCATTCAGAATTGCAGTGGCTCATTAAATGGGTGCGAGGGGCCCAGCCGATTTACAAGTCAATGTTCTCGTCCTTCAGACGAATCCGGTATCAACTTACTGTCCCGTGAGGGTAGAAAGCTTGGTTGTCCGGGATCTGACCCCCCCCCCTCCCTCTCCCACCGCATGCGGGGTAAGCGTGCTACCTGCCACTACATGAGAATGGTTTAGAAAATACCTACTTCGGTACTCTGACGACAAACTCCGACTTTGGAAGTTGTTGACTTGACATCTGACTGTAGAAGTGGAATTACGCAAATAACATCTCACTATCGAATTGAAGAATGAACCGTTATGACAACGTTGATGGTCAGAATATTAACTAAATCTTAACCTCTTTATTATAATCAACAAAACATATGTGACCAACATATGAAAATCAACAACACATGACTATACAACTACATATCAACTACTAAAAGCATAAGTCTGATTTAAAACCTAATTATTACCTAAGCAAGCTTCATGACAACAAATGGCTGTCCCGTACTTTGATCACTATAATTCTCCAAAAAAAAAACGATTCACAACGTTGAGAACTAAGTTGAAATTTCCAAAAATATGGCACCGTCGTAGGTAAAATAACAAACCTGGTTACTCCGAGCTACTTTTCTAATTTCAACATCATCAGTAGTGTCAGTTATTATCGAGAGGATCTCATGACTATAATCAATCGAGCTGCGAGATGCAACAATTGAAGTACTGTGACCCATTTATAATCGAACTTCACAATTACAACGAGATATTACATCTTGGCAGCAACGATCCAGTACATCCACAGCCACTGCGAAAATAGATCGAGCTCTAATCACTATTTAAGCATATCAAGAGAAGATCAAAAGAAAGGCAACCGAGAGCGAGAAATCAGGGCGAAGAACGGAGGACTGTAAAAATGAGCTCATGAAAAGGGGACATGGAGATGACGATGGGATAAGCTGCACCCGATTAGAAACCAAGAAGTCCTTTGCGGTTCTTCGCATTATACTTCAGCACTTTCATTTCAATGATATTCGCAATCTCTTCGGCTGTTCTCGTCTGACCGTAGTAATCATGGAAGAGACCATCTGGGTCGACAAGGTAGGTGATGACAGTATGATCAACGATATAATCATCCTTATCTTTTCCAGTACGAGGTCCCTGACTGTGGTAAACACGGAACGTTTTCGCCACTTTGTTCACCTGGGAACAAGCCACATAAATACAATGAAATACTGAAAAATCATGAAGAAATTTCGGCTCAGTTCGGTGACAGGGGAGGGGGCATTCTGCACGTTTGCTGCTTCACTAGTTCCATTTTACAAATCCCACTCTTGTGGAGCCTGTAAACTCCTAAGAAGTTGACACAAGCTCGTCGAGTCATCATAGTGGAACCTGTACTCTTGTAAGCTCACGAAACAGCACTAGATGGTCGACATGGAAGTAGCAAAAGAGCAAAATACCCCCCCCCCCGTGCTGCTCCGAAATCTCTGATAACTGACCTGTTCTACTGATCCAGTAAAGCCTTTCAATTTCGGAGAGAACTCCGCGCAGTATTCCTTCACTCTTTGAATTGTATCGCGTTCAGGATCGACGGAAATAAAGATAGGCTTTATTGGGATTTTGTCTGGTTTCGCGTCCAATATGTCGACCACCTTCAAGAAAGAGTTGCAGCAAAGTTTGCATGAAGTGCAAAAAACACAGCTATCGCACAATAGCTCATAAGGGAAGGATGGTAGGTCGAAGTGGCCATTTGAAATGAAATGTATACCGGCTGAAAGGTCTTCGGACGGGAGATTACGAAACCGTTTTCCATATCTGCTGCGGACCTCCCAGAAAGAAGTTACGGAGCTTTTTAGGGGGGAATATTCGCATTCACTACGAATTGACGGCGTAAGGCTCACACGACCGTGGCAGCATGGCCGAGTGGATACGTCGTAGGGCTCACGGATGCGTGGTCGAGGGTTTGGATCCTTGATGCGTGTGCTCTTTTGCATTTTTTCGAAAGTGGTCCCTTGCACTTCAAAGCTATTTTGCATAACTCTTGTCCCTGATAATGTCATAACGTAATGATTCTGAACTGATGGAGCCATTGCGAACGATTCCATGGAGAACATTTCTGGCTGTTGACTTCTTCTTTCTTTGATTTGAAAAGCATACACAACAAAAGTGCATTCCAACGAATGATTTTGCCCTGAAAATGACTTTATTCTCCAAATGACATGACTGGAAAACGAAGCCGCACGAAGTTGTGCACGAAGATGAGTATAGTGGGGAAAATGCTTTCATATGAAGTGGCGTTGATGTGGCAATCATGCTGGAGATCGCGATGGGCAAAACCTTCATTCATTACTCACATAGTGTTGAAAGATGTCTATCCCAAAGTGGTTTCGCACCTGCTGGAAGTTTTCGGCTCGTATGACAATCTCTTCAGCCAGAAGTGATCTCTATGAAATCGTTCGCAATGGCTCCATCAGTTCAGAAACATTACGTCACGACATTATCAGGCACAAGAGTTATGCAAAATAGCTTTGAAGTGCACAGGGACCACTTTCGAAAAAATGCAAAAGCACACGCATCAAGGATCCAAACCCTCGACCACGCATCCGTGAGCCCTACGACGTATCCACTCGGCCATGCTGCCACGATCAGCCTTACGCCGCCAATTCGTAGTGAATGCGAATATTCTCCCCCTAAAAAGCTCCGTAACTTCTTTCTGGGAGGTCCAGATGGAAGACGGTTGTAATCTTTGTCCGAAGACCTTTCAGCCAATATAATTTCTTTTCAAATGGCCACTTCGACCTACCGTCCTTCCCTTGTCAGAGAAACAGGCCAATACCGCGCTTTTCAAACTCCTATTTTTTTCCTGCCAGTAGTGTGACCTCTTTCCGGAAACCTTCTTATACCTACAAAGACATGAAAAAGCAGAAATGCCCCAAATTAACTATACAGACAGGATGTCGGTGTAGTACCCGCGAACTTGCGGAATGCAATGAGTCATACGCAAGTTCACCATAATAATACGGTGAGAGAAAATTACTTCAGGCTGCCACGAACAAAGAATAGGGAAAAGTGAAAAACAGCAAAACTCTCAGTGTTAGTGAATTTTTTGGTCTCTTTGTTATTGTTCTATTGGAACCTGCTGCGACCGGACTTAATGAGGAAAGATTAACAAATTGCGGACCAACATTCTGCGATGATGTCCACATCAAATCGTCGCTTTTTACATCGATAATCAGTTATTCCATCTGGATAGAAACCAAGTTACCCGTATGAAACAGCGCAGAAAGAAAAAAAATGTATGACCATGTGTGTCACGCGGTCCGAAACGTGTTAATAAGCAAGCAAACCTGTAATCCCCGCCCTAAAATTTAAGATAACCACGGAACAAATGGTGAGAGGTGTTAGAATGTGTTTTTTGGAGTGACTACAACAAACTACATGAAGAGATGCACAGGAATCCTTCTCTCCCTGCCTTCTTAAAGTGTTTGCGATTGTAGGGGAAATGCTGAGTACTCCCAAGGTGCTCCTCCCAGTTTAATTTCTATTATTCACTACTAAGGAAGCATTCATACTTTGCGGCAGCGTCCACCAACGTACGGCAGCGTTTCGAGCGAACGCCAGCGCTAACGACTAAAAAAGTGCCGATATCGGTCTAGCGAACGCCAGCGTCCGCCAACGTCCAGGAGTGGAAGTAGTCTAGTCTAGTCCAGCTGTCTATTACCTCCATACTCTCCACTCGACAGTGTTGCACCCTGACAAACGCTGTTGGACCCTGTCGTTTGCTAGATCTATATTTATACTTTACTAGTCGCCGGCGCTGGCGTTCGTTCGAAACGCCTCCTTGCGCTGGTGGACGCCGCTACAAAGTATGAACGCAGTATAAAGCCGCTCAACAACACCATGCTGAGTACCCTTTCTATAATTCTCAACATTGTGATTGACCAAGGAAAGAATGTGCACTGAATATCCACTTACCTTGACCATTTTCTCTATCTCGTCCGGGCAGATATCAGGGCAATGCGTGAAGCCAAAATACAAAAGCAACCAATTTCCCTTTAATTGCTCTGATCCCTCCAATTTTCCTGAAGGCAAAAAAAACATGACTTCACGAAATTTCGACTCGGAAAAATTGAAAGGGCATAGTAAACATAAAAAAAACAAAAGAGAAGAATGGTTGACCTTCAGTGTTGACCAGCTCCCAATCTCCGCCGATTCGGGCTTTACCCGCCAAATATTTGATGTGTTTTTCTCGTTCTTCCATCCTCTACAATAAATCTATCTAAGCTGTAGATAGGACCAACAACCACAAAGTATTTAGGTAGTTGTACGAAAATAATCACAATTTTACGGATGTAAAAGAGGAGAGCCAGGCAAGCAGCACCAATTCCTAGCGTTTTAGCAGCCACTTTCCAGTTGAATATTGTGCCACTTCGTTGGTATGCGTCGCGCTAAAAACTATCACATAACAAGAAGATGGCGGGAAACATACGAGAGAGAACGTTCGGGTCCTCTCAGACAATATGAAATTTATAAGTAAAAACTTGACAGAAGGTGTCACAGTCGCGAGAAAACAAACCTCAGCTTTTGCCTTGAAGTTCATAAAGTTCTTGTCAATTTCCTCTTCACTGTCTTTCACTTTGGAATCGAAAATCCTTCTTCCAGTTCCTTCTCCAAATCAGCGTCAGATTTTTTGCTATAAGAACTCATAGAACATTGCAGTCAGACTATTTCCCTGAAATAATACATACTCACCTGTCATTCTGTTTACTTGTTGTCGAGAAA